GACATGCAGGTTAGGTTAACTGGAACTCTAAACTGCCCATATAATAAGTGTGAAGTGAGTTTTAATGGTTTCCTCTATGTGTCAGCCGTGTGATTGACTGGAGAGCTGTCCATGGTGGACCCCGCCTCTCGCCCTGTCAGCTGGGATCAGTTCCAGCCGCACCCCCCCCCCCAATGACCTTTCAAAGGACAAGCAGGCTAATGGATGGACATTAGACTCTGGAAAATGGGATGGCTATTTTGCAATCCTTTCTGACATTTCTGACACTGCAAGAAGTGTTTTACAATAGTAGATGATCTGACTTAACCGAACCTCCTAACATTATTTTGCACCTAGATGTGTTGTCTTCCACTTACAGGTAAACACAGTCGGTGGTTTAGGGTTTGTGCAATAACCGTGAACAGCTCTGTGGAGTACTGAATGTACTTGTGCAGCTCTTTGTTACTTTATTGTCTCTGTAATATGTCTGACTTATTCAGCGTTTGTGGAAGTGCAGTGCTGAGCCCAAGACGATTATCCCCATGGAAACGTTAAAGTATGTTCTATTCAATTCTGCTCTAAATGATTAACCAATTATTGGTGAAAAATAAACCAGCAGATTAATCTCTAGCCATCATTTACGATCTTATTTTAACACCTGATCTGACCTACAAACCTTATGTACTAGTTTTCATTGGTAGAGGCTGTCGTTAGCACCTACATGTTTTTTGGGGTTTAGTATCAGTGTGAAGTGACACGAGGACACTGAAGAGGTTTTCTGTTTAGTTTTATTGAAGCCACACAGTCAGTTCACAGCTGCCCCGACAGATACAACTGCTGCACTGCAAAAACTCCCATCTGCTGTGTGAATACATGTGTGTGAGAGTGAGTTCAACATCATCACTTTGGCAACACTTCAAAGATTTCATGATTCATCTCAGGCCATAGCCCCGCGGCACCAAATAAGTTAAAAACAGCAATGTGACTAAACACAGTTACAAAACAATAAATTATGACCAGAAATGCTGTACAGGCTGTAAAACCAGATCATCAGCGGGTTAAACATGTTACATGCTACACACGTTGGTTTAACAGCGGGTTAGTAAAAAAACAGTCACAGGTAACTGAACAATATGAACAGAATGTACAGGATTATGTTCAGGCTCTGCTCTCAGGCAAACACTAATACTGATAAAAGAGGTCTCACACACACTTTCCAGACACAACCTAGGTCTCCTGCTCCCTCTAGCGGTGGAGAGTTGAAAAATTACAGCCTTCTTTGGTAACAAAAACACACACACACACATTCATATGCACACACACGTTTGCGTAAGGACATCACCTCACCTGGAAGGACAATGTTTATGCCCTAACAAGTAAACTGAGCTGAAATTATATCCAGTTTATGAACAAACAGGAAGGTTTTAATGGAAAAATACACCCTTACTACTTATACATGCTCATATATAAATAGCTCACGGGTCTCAATGTTTTCCAGGAGTCTGTGGTGAAGTAATGTGGTTAGCTTTTTGCAGTATCTACATTTTTGGCCACATTTCTGAGCGAATAAAAAAAATACTTTATTTACAAAATGGATTCAGAATGGCAGGGCGCATCACTGATAGCAGCTTCACACTGTTCTGGAGAGGTGAAAGCAGGTAAAGCATTGTCAGGTTGGGGGGTTCTTTATTTTCCTCCATCTGCACTAACCTTGAGGCCATTTGGTATTTTGGTATATTAATAACATCTCACACACACTGTCCCTCTCTGTCCCTCCTGCTGCTCTGCTCCATCCTGACATTCAGACGGATGGGAACAGCTAAGCTCCAGCTGAGCAGCTCTCAATCCCATCCTCCCTCCCTCTGTCCCTCCCCCTCTCTTCGCTTCACATCCACAGCAGCTGAAACAGCAGAATCCAGTGGAGGAACGCTCAATTTTATGCAAAACATGCTCGTGAAACAAGAAGTCCACTCTGAGGAATGTCATATGCAGGCACTGTCAAGGAGACGCCATCGTGCAGGAGGAATGATCATTTAAATGTTGCTTCTCTTCTGTCATGAAAGAATCAAATTGTTCTCTAAAAGCAGGGAAATTATTTTGACACTTTTTAACTCTATATGTGCATAGAATAGATGAGTACTTACTTGTCTGGCTAAGAGAATGATTATTTTGTTTAAATGTAATAAATACAGGCTGAACATGACCATCATCCCCAATATCTTGCTAATTTGGTGAGGCACTGTGCTGTGAACACATATCAGACTGAGGTGGGAGAAATGTCTTAAAGATAAGTTGTGTGACGATCGTGTAAAAATTAAAATACTTTTGTAATGTTTGTTGAGCCAAATTTGCCTGATGTGATGCATCCATTTTTGTTTGGTTTTCAGGCACTTCCAAATAATTCCATATTGGGTATATCAGAGGATTCTGAGAAACACTGAGTTTCCCTGTTGTAATAATTAATAATAATAATAATAATA